ATATCTCCTGAATAAGAATCTCTGGCAGTGAGGCTTAGGAATATGTACACTCAACACATGACACTGATGTGCAGTCCTGCTTGACGAGCATTGCTTGAAAGATACATGCACCTCCACCAAATTTATTAGTAATCTCTGAATTGCCAAACCAGTAGATACTTCATACACCTTATGTATCTCAGTGGACCACTCTGTTGGAATTGATAGTTGATCTTTCAGCTTCAAATGTCATACTTCCTTGGCCGCCAGGCACCACACACTCATGATTCTCCTGCCTCCTTTCTGGTCATCCCATCTCAGTCTATTTTATGGGCATCTTTCCTGCCAGCCCCTTAAATATCTGTGCTCTTCAGGGTTTTGACTCTACCTTTCTGTCACTCTAACATTTGACACAATCTCTCTGTCTAGGCTCATCCATTCACATGACTTAAGTCTGTGCACTACTGGTGCCCATGTTTCTAGCCTTGGTCCATATCCTTTTTTAGGCTCAAAACCCACGTATAGTATTGCCTAGATTACCATTTACATATCACATGGGCACCTCAAACCCAATATACTCAAGGCTTCTTTTTTTAATGTTCCCTCCATATCTCAGAAAATGTCACCATTGACACCCCACATCTAATAAGTCACTAAGTCTTATGTATTCTGCATTCCACCAACCATCCACTTTTCTTCATCCACACTGTCCTTATCTTGGTTCATGCCACAATTACTTCTCATCTGATTTAGTGACAGATTGTATTACACTTTTTGTATTTACATGTATATTTATTCTACTAGACTGTGAGTAATGAGAGCATAGGACCACTCATTTATTCATTTAACTAGTATGTATTGAGGGCCTACTATGTGCCATATTGTGTCACATTCATCTCTGTATCTTTCACATCAAGTATATTGCCTGATACTAAGTAGGTACACAGCTATATCTGTTTTATTGAATTACATTGAAACTTGCTATGTTACAGATGAGAAATGACCTGCCAAACCTACACAGCAGGTTAGGATACTGGAATTTATATTTCCTCACTCTTAGTCCAGCTTTCTTTCCACAGGACCACATTGTCCCTCCCTCGTACCCCTCTATACTCTCCCGGGTTATTTTTCTTTTCTCTCTGACTTTTCTATACCATTCTCTCATTATTGGTGATATTGCTCCTATACTTGTTTGCCAGCTTCTGTGGAATAGAAAATAATTATCGCCATCCCTGTAGGCTTCTTGGTTAAGAATCTATATTTCCTTGGCATTGCATCCTTCTTCTGGCATCGTCATTGCTGAATCAGGATGACCACAGGTCAGCTTTTCATCTGGCACGTCTGAAGAGCTCCTCTTAACTTCAGTGGAGTATGGCTAGACCTGGTCTCATATAGGAACTTACAGGCTCTCAAGCGGATTTGGGCCGTGTTCTGGGAAAAAAGAGAATGAGGAAATATTTTCAGCATTTGTACAGAATACGTGTTCTATGCAGACAAGAAAATGGCTTATAATTACAGGCTGAGAGAATTTGATATTTGATTCAGTTTGTGGATGAAGATTCTGATAGCGATTATTTTAGACACAGTATTGGACTATCATACAAAGTTGGTTTTTCATGTATAATCTATTTCCACTTGCTACAATTTAGGGAAACCTAAATAAGCTTAGTACATTCTAGGAATGTGAATAAAACATATGGGTGGTGCCTTCTAGAGAAAATTTCTGCTCCTAAATTGTTTAGCCTATGAGTGTAGGAAATCCTCTTAGAATGGTTTATAAAACATGTTGTTTTCATATCTTTGTATCCTTGTTCATTCTGTTATCTCTGCGTGCAATAGTTTTTATTCATTATTTTATTTATCAAATATTTTCTGAGCATCTACTCTGTGCCCATCATTATACTGAGTTTGGGAGATTCAGTGATGGTTCCTTTTGCAGTCCATCCTGTCATCATTTATGTTACCTCTTGTCTTTTGTAGTGCTATTCCCTCTAGCTGTAATGCCCTTCTCATCCTTCAAATGTATATTTCCGTATTACCTTTTCTAGGAAGCATCCCATAACTCCCTCAATCCTGGATTAGGTGCATTTCTCCTCTGCTCCCTTCCATAGCACTTATCCTATATTACATTTGTGCTATATTCCCTACTAAATTATGAGCCTGAGAGCAGAGATTCATTTATTAATTATGTGTTAATTAATAATACATCGTTATTATACAGTTGACCCATGAACAATGCAGGGTTTAGGGACATAGACTCCCTGTGCACTCGAAAATCCACATATAACTTTTGACTCCCCCAAAACTTAAGTTGCCCTCAATCTCCACAGGAGCTTGGTTCCAGGAACCCACACGGATACAAAAATCCACTGATGCTCAAGTCCCCTGTGTAAAATGGCATAGAACATTGCATACAGTCAGCCCTCCACATCCGCAGATGCCCAACCATGGATTGAAAACAGGTGTTTATTGAAAGATTCAACCTGACTTATGTTAAGAGAAGTGGAAGTAGTATAGAGTTGGAGAAGAACTTGATGGACAGGCAGAGTAATTTAGGCTTAATGCTCTAGAAATTAGAAATAAGTTTTTGAACAAAGGAATAAAGTGTGAAAATAAGCCACATTTAAGGAAGATATGTTTGGTATATATCTGTTCAAATTTAAAGCAGGACTTAAATAAAATAAAAGGATTTCAAATTGAAATCATCTCTTGCCTCTGCTATGGGCTACATTAGGGTGAGACAAATTTCTTAACATTGATGTCTACTGTTCATTGCACACTCACTGTATTCCAGACACATGATATACCTTTTAAAAGACCATATTCAATCTACAGTTACCTATCATGTAGGTATCTCCATTTTAAAGATGAAGAGACGGGCTCAGAGAGATGCATTGAGTTGCGCAAAGTCAGATAGCTCATAAAATGAGAAATAAAAATTTTAACTCTGATTTGTTTGACCTGAATCTAGTAAGTACAATGCTTGGCACATGGTTGACGTGCAATAAATACCTGTTGAACAAATGGGTGAATGAATATATCAGTAAATCTATCCTCTTTCATGGATGAATTTACAGATTAGCTTTAATGGTTTCCGTGATGTTGATAAGCTCAAGTCAATGCTAAGAGTAAGAAAGAGGTTTGAGTCACAAAATATAATTTACATAGGAAAATCTTTTGACTCTGGAAATTCTGATTGGGAAGAGATGTAAATTTTGTTCAGAAATTATATATGTAATACACATGCACACACATACATACACATCAACATAGCAGCTTGGAACACCTTTGACACACATACACAAGCACATGCAGACCCACACAAGCATACTTGTTTTTAATCTCATGTTTTCCTTTGTTTTCTTAACCCTCCTGAGAGGGTGTAAATAGAATGTCAGAGCTAGAAGATACCTCAGCAATTACCTAATCACATCCCCTCATGTAAACGTAGAAATTGAGGCACTAGAGGAAAAGTAAATTGCAAAGGTCACACAAGGAGTTAGAGTAAGATTAAGAATCTGAGTTTCCTGACTCACAGGTTTGTTCTACTCTGAACTGTCACCATTTACCATCTCAATTTTATCGATGGGGTAACCAAAGCATCCTAAGAATGTTGATGGTCAAGCTCCTGCTACTTTTCCATTGAAGCAGGACTTGAAATCATCTCTTTTATTCTAAATATGAGGCTTGTTTTCATCCAAGTGCTTCTGTCTGGATGCCCAGAAGGAAGACCCCTTCCTACTGAATTAAATAGTGGACTGAGGATAATTTACAGGAAGCTTTGGCCTTCGCTTGAAGAGAAAATGTCCAAAGCTGCTTTCATTTCAGAAGGCTGGCAGTCCCAGGGAGGCTCCCTGGAGGCAGGGATTCTGTCTTCCTTATTGAATCCACAACACCTAGCACAAAGGAAGGCACTCAAAAATATTTGTTGAATATATGACATATTAAAGACAGAAAGGGAAAGTAGGTTGGTTAATGGTTTCCCAATGGATGATGGATGGATAATCATTATTAGTGCTGAAAAAGTGGGAATGGATATAGAAAGGAGGTGGGAGAAACCCTTAAACAAAGGAGAAGCTCTGTCTCCATCTGATTGAAGCTGCAATCACTCAGCAAAGGCTGAGTGGCTTGGTAGGACTGTGATTGGCAGAGATATGTAAATGAGGCCTCCTTAAAATTGTTACTCTCCACCCCACCCCCTTCCCCTTTAAATTCTGTTTCAGTCATTACCCTGGGACCGGATACAGAGATTCCTATGGGGAGTTCTAATGGGTCGATTCAATTTCAACTGGATGACGCCACTTAGCCAAGCATTAAGAGCTACAGCTCCGGGAAAACAAACGACACAGAGAGAGGGAGAGAAAGAAATTATAACAGGGAGCAATAAATCCCTTCCCTCCCATCCTCCCCGGTAACCCATTCACAAGACCTCCTGAAATCATGTACATTCACAAAATAGCCAGCCAGCTGAGCTGAAAACACTGCAATGTCAGCCCCTCCCCCGCTCTCTGCGGATTATATACCGACACACCCTGAGCTATGTAAATAATCACATATCGGTATCTATTGCTCTGCTGAGATACCCTGTGTCTACAACTGCAGTTTCTGCTGCTTCGCTTCATCTGTCAGATTGGAGGAGACAGAGTTCGGAGGTGGAGGCGGAGGCAAGAGAGGAGGGGGAGGAGGGAAAGGAGGAGGAAGGGGAGGAGGGAAGGGGGAGGGGAAGAGGAGGGGGAAGGAAAATGCTGGAGGAGGAGGGGAAAAAGAAAGAGGAGGAGGAGAAGGGGGAGGAGAAAGAGGCGGAGGAAGAGGAGGAGGAGAAATAGGAGAAGGAGGAGGAGAAAGAAGAGGAGGAGGAGGTGAACAACTTACCCTGCTGAGCTTTCTTTGGGGAATACGGGCATCAAGACTGAGATCTGCATGGAAAATCTATACAAAGTATCTGCCACTACAGGACTGATTCTCCTCCCCCCACCACCGTTTTTTTTTTCCCTTTCCGTTTTCTCTGCTGTGTCAGAAAGACTTAAGACAGAACTATCTCTGTTTCTGGCTCCACTGCCGGTGAAGGAGTTTTCATTCAAGACTTTCCGAGGAGAGGTGGAGAAACCTAGACTCAGGAGAAGAGGTCCTTTGAGCCAGATGGGGCATTAGTTCGTCTGCTTTTCTCAGCATGAATAGATCCTTTCCTCAAGGTAAGCCATACAGATTAGCTCCTAAGGACCCCAGAATTCTTTCTGTGCACAGATTGCCATTCATTCCAGCCATCGTCTGTGTGTGTGTGTGTGTGTGTGTGTGTGTATGTGTGTGTGTCCGTGCGCGCGCGTCTGTGCACGCGCACAAACACAAGCGCATGGGTGAAATAAAATGAAAATCATTTAAATGAGATTTAAATGAATCAGCTCTGGCAGAAAACTAACCTCATTGGATATTTATAAATCAAAATGGAACTGCAAAAATTACCCTTTTGTAGCAAAATGTCAATTTAATTTCTAGCCCGGTGACCTTTCAATGCGTTTTGGTGCTTGCCTAAGCCCCTTATAGCGCAGCCTAACCTCGCAAACTGAGGATGTAGGGAGAGCCCGTGCTGAGGCCAGTCTGGCTGCCCAGCGGGCATCCTGTCAGCGTGGGGCTAGTCGGCTATTGGCTCACAAGTCTGGGCTGTGCATCGTTCAGATTTCATCACATCACCTTGCCCTGGGTAGAAATGGCGCAAGCTGACACGGCATAACCCCCTACTTACATTGAGTCAGAGCAATGATTTAGAAATCTCTGGATCCATGCCTGGGTGTGTGTGCACATGTCTCTATGTGGCATATGGAAATTTTGTCAAAAGTGAGAACCTGTGAGCATGTTGAGTTAGCCAATAGGCATTTGATAGGACCTAGGGCAGTGGTTTACACTCCTTTGCATTTGTCTAATTATAATTATCACTCACCTCTGCATGCTGCAAACCAAGTTGGATGAACGGAACACAGACCTTGAACTCTTAAACAGAAAAGCTATTTTGAAATGCAAATTGTTGTTGCTTTTCTGGGTACATTAAAACTTCCCTGTAACATAGTGGGCTATCACATGAATTCGGATACACCAGGTGTTACATCATGTTCCCAACAAGCCAGCAGCGTGCACACATACAAATCAGGCGCAGGCTAGCAGCTCATCCCTAAGGAAGGATTCGTCTTTTCCCTGTACCTCTTAATAAACACTGACTACGAGTTTATTGTTAACATTCTACACATTTTGTTTCTGTGTGTTCTGTTTTTAGGTCTCTAGCTGTGAAACAATCTAGATAGTGATCTGAGTGACTGGGATTTGGAGGTATTTTATTCAGAGGTGAGGAGCTGAGTAGTGAGAAAGTACAGAGCCTAAAGGAAAGGAGACGAACTCTTCATGGAAGCCTTTTGAGACAGAGACATGCAACCAACAAAACCCGCATTAAAAATGTAGAGCACCAGGACGAGAAGGGCCTTTTCAAACTCTCCTCTCACACCCTCTCATTTTGCAGATGAAGAAACTGAGGCCTGGAGCAGACGTCACTTGCCCACAGTCACACGGCAAAGTAGAGCTAGAGTGAGGACTAGAACTTAAGTTTCTCGTCCCCGATAAAAGGATTTGGGGTGCAAAGAAAGGTTCCTGCTTCTTAAATGAACAACTGTCATTTTCTTCGGGATCAGAAGTGTGGAAATTCATTTGATATTACAATTTTGCCCTGTACTGCTCATCACTAAAACAGCTAGATCTATTAAAGGAATGAATAGGACCAGGGTAGCAAAGTGACAAGTTAAGAGTTAAATGTGGTGAGAACCTGGCAGCTTCAGCAAGATGTATGCGGTAGGAGGGAGGCCCAGTCAGTGGCTGAGAGGTTAGTAATGTAAACTATATACAACCTGGTATTTGTAAGGGGGGAGTGCTGTGATAGACATGCAAATGCTTTTGCACAGAGAGGGATTTTTAGAGAGCAGACTTTGGAACAGTAGAACTAAGAAAACATATAAAGCCATAGCAGAAATTCCCCCTATGTTTGCTTTCAGTTATTCTGAGAAGGAGTGTATATAACAGCAGCGCACAGAAAAAAGCAACACACCCCAGAGCCGTTACACAGCAAAGGTACAAAACAGCATTGAACCCATGGGAGTAGGAGAAAACAGGAGCCAGGCTCTCCTTCTTCTCTTCCCCCCTCTTCTTTGAAATCGAGATTGAGTCATATTGTATCAGAAAGGATTTATCATAGAAATCAGAACTGTCTTGAGGTGTTTGCATAGAAGGGCTTTAGATAGGAAAATTTTCAACTTTAGTTTCAACGTGGCAGATTTTCGGTTCCAGGGAGAAAATACATTTTTCTTTCATTAACAAGCAGCATTTCTTGAATGGATTTAGCTTTCTACTCCCTAAATTGGCATAAGAAAAGAAATTTCTGTTGAGGTTGAACACAGCAAACTTCAGGGCTGCAGAAAAACTGTTGAGAAAACTATGAGCACCTGGCCAGAGGGACTGAGATGGGAGTGGGTTTACAATGCATCATTCATTACTGCAGAGGCACTACGTGACAGAAATCACTAGATCCCATCAATGTGCAGCCAAGACTTGTAATCACCTTGGCTCCTATTTAATAATATGTGATATGTGTATTCTGTCTCTCATTTAATAAATATGGAAGTGACCACCAGCACAGTCACTTTTTGAACAGTTGCTGCTCACAGTGAATGGCCCTTTAATGGGTGGAATTCTAAATCATAAACACGCATGCAACAGTACTTTTTCCTCTAATCTGTGCACTGCAGCAGCCTTTTGCCTATTTGTTTCTCCACTTTTCCCCCCTCTTACCTTCTCCTACAGTATCTGTTTCAGTTCATCCTGTTAGCCAGATCGGATTCAGCACGTCCAGAATGGCAAACAATTTATTGTCATCCAATCCTGTTTTATCCTACTCAACACCCTGATTTTACCCAGGTCCTACTGCCCACTGTATTGCAGATCTTCCACAGTCCATTCTAAAGAAGGTTTTACAGGGTAGGACGACAACTCCAAGTTCATCCTGTCAATCCCCTCACCTGTAATCAAGACAGCAGTACCTCACCATCCCAGATGATGCCGTAAGCTTCCTTTAATCAGCCAGGCATCTCAACTGCTCAGTCTTGCAGCAATCCAATCTAATCGATATCCAGTTACGCCTTCTCACCCTAAACACCATGGGCCCTTCTGCCAAGACAAGATCCCCTTTGAACATGGTTCTGAGTCATTTTTATTATGACCTAGATTCCTCCAGGCTTAGCTTTCAACCTTCTGGGCATGTCCCTGAGATACCTGGTGACGTCCCTGGAATCCCATATGATTATCTCCTATAGCTTTGAGACCTCGTGTGCCTTCCTTTGAGTCTTTGATTCTTGGGACTTCCAATATGTTTTGAATTCCTCTGGGAAATCCATGACCCTAATGCATCCAGCATGAGTTTCTCTAACAGTGTAAAGGACTTGAAGGGCCCCACACATTCTTTATCTTATCGATGGGTAATAAATCCATTTAGTATAAATTTGTCAAGAAACTCTTCCCAAGCCAAAGCTCCTACATCCACATACCCTGCAATTCAGCTGAACAAGGTGTCCTTGTTTATTGGGGGGTTCGGATGACAACTACCTGTTCTTTTCCAGCGCTGAGACTGTGAATCTTAATAAAGATACAGCAAAGGGAGAGTTGGGAGACTTCAGGGGGCTGTGTGTCCGAGTAAGTGAAAGAGACATTTTGCTTTTGAATGCCCAAATAGATAAACAAGGGCACGTTGCCCAGTTTACCCTCAAGGACTGAAGACATAGAAGGTGTAGATGAAGAGAATTATCTTGTCAAATTATGTGATATAGAATTATAGACCACCACGGGGCACAGTCCTTTGCAGTCACCTAGTCCCCCCCTATACATTTATATAGATAGCGGAACTATGGCCCAAACAAAGCAAGTGACTTGACAAAGTTTATATAGATGTTTGAGTCTTAGACCCTCCATCGTGTTTATGTGCATCCTCTGTGCTGCATTCAATAGCAGAAAGAGAACTAGCTAAAAACTGAAATTATAGTCAGACTGCTTTTTTGATGTGATGTGCCAGAAAAGTTATTTTTAACCAAATTAAATCTTCTTTTTAAAAAATGAACAGATGTAAATTCAACTAAACAGGTTTGCATGGGGATATAGCCTCGAAAGGCAATGAGCCTAGTCGTATTATTAGCCACTGAGTCCTTTATGAGCTGCATCCTCATTTTTCCTGTCATGGAACTTTGAGCACATTTCAGTATCATGTTTGCTTGCTAATCAAGCACTATGCTCTCTCCCTTGTTCATTTCTATTACTCATTCAAGATTTCCATCCCATACAGTAGTGTGAGTAATCAATCTATTTTGAGATGGCCTGAAATCTGATGGATTTCAAATATGTACTTTATTCATGCTGGTGTTTCCTAGGTCCTAATGCCTCCAGGCTGACTCTTGGATTTGTATTTAGGTTTCTTTGTGTACGACTTTTTGGCTGTTCAGTCTTCGAGATGGGGCAATACAGTAATCGATTCATACAGTGTTTTCCTCATGGTCACAATTATCAGTACTAGGCTCAATGAAATCCTTTAGGAAATAACCGCCAACTCTTCTTGCTTGTGGTACAGTGGAGACGCAAGCACACGCTTTCTAGATATTCAACTTAGCTTAAATCTGGTGGAAGAACATTGGCATTCTTTGAGGAAGCCAGTTTATTATATTGTGTAAGGTAAAAAGATAGGGGAAAACACTCCGTACAGATTCTGCCTAGTAAATCCCATCAGTAAAAACTTCACTTAAGGTGGTAATAGGCACAATTATGGGTGATATTTGAACCAAGTCAGGGCTCATCTTGGATGGTTCCCCCGTCCCCGTTGTTACTCCCATGCATACAAAAGTTTCGTCTGGAGCTACAATGCCATCTGGAAAGAGTCACCTCCTCAATAAGTGAAATTGGCCTACAAGATGAAGAGAACTGAGAACTGCAGGATGGTTAGCTTGGCTTCCTCGCAGTGCTGGGCAGCCTCTTTTCATATTATTCTACAGATAGCCTAATCTCTGCCCTCTGTGTCTCTGCCACATCTCTGCCCACTGCATCTTGTTCGCTTGCCTATATTCATTGAATCAAGCAGTGTCCTTTCTCACATGTTTATTTATGTTTATCACAAATTTCACCAAAGGGGTAATTCTGATTTTTACATGAGCAATTAATTTCTCGGGGAAGACTTTTGAGGCTTTCTCTTTCCCATCAGCATTGCTTCAGGAAGTGGCCTTTGCCTTTGAAATTCGGGTCTCTGTCAGCCAACATCTGAATGAGCTAGCTGCTCCTATGACCCTAGTCATATGATGCAATTCAAAAGCAATTGACTCTCTGATATTTGCTCCCCAAGTGGTTCATGGTCTGGATGGGATGACCAGACTTGCCTGTCAGGAAGTTGGTGAGGTCAATTACAGAATAAAGGTGTAACGTGAAGTCCACTGTAAAGGAATTTAAGGTAGGGGTGCTGATAGGGCCTGAGCTTTGCTCGTTCCCTGAGAAATCCTCACGCCTATGTGTTCTCATTCATTGTTTCTGTTCCTTCTCTCCTAGGATTTTCTGATGTGCCCTAAGGTCCATGTAACTATAAGGGCTCTTTATCACCGTAAGTGCCGCCCTGACGCAAAGCCACTCAGAACTCAAGAATCAAGGCAAAATGGATGCTGCAGTGACAGATGATTTCCAACAAATTCTGCCTATTGAACAGCTGCGCTCTACTCATGCTAGCAATGATTATGTGGAACGGCCTCCAGCACCCTGTAAACAGGCCCTCTCCAGCCCTTCCCTTATCGTGCAAACCCACAAATCTGATTGGTCCCTGGCTACCATGCCTACTGCTCTCCCCCGCAGTCTCAGCCAGTGCCATCAATTGCAGCCCTTGCCTCAGCATCTGAGCCAATCTAGCATTGCCAGCTCAATGTCCCATAGCACCACTGCCTCTGATCAAAGGCTCCTGGCCAGCATCACGCCCTCACCTTCAGGCCAGTCCATCATCCGAACCCAGCCTGGAGCAGGAGCCCACCCAAAGGCTGATGGTGCTCTGAAGGGAGAAGCTGAGCAAGCTGCAGTGCACCCCAGTGAGCACCTCTTCATCTGCGAGGAGTGTGGGCGCTGCAAATGTGTCCTCTGCACAGCAGCTCGCCCTCTCCCCTCCTGCTGGCTGTGCAACCAGCGTTGCCTTTGCTCTGCTGAGAGCCTCCTCGATTATGGCACTTGTCTCTGCTGCGTGAAGGGCCTCTTCTACCACTGCTCCACGGATGACGAAGACAACTGCGCCGATGAGCCCTGCTCCTGCGGGCCTAGCTCTTGCTTTGTCCGCTGGGCAGCCATGAGCCTCATCTCCCTCTTCTTACCCTGCCTGTGCTGCTACCTGCCCACCCGTGGATGCCTCCATCTGTGCCAGCAGGGCTATGATGGCCTCAAGCGACCAGGCTGCCGCTGTAAGAGGCACACCAACACTGTGTGCAGAAAGATCTCTTCTGGTAGTGCGCCCTTCCCCAAGGCCCAGGAGAAGTCCGTATGACCTTCCCGCAAAATGGATCCAGAGCTGTCTCCTTCCAGCCCCCATCAGTAAAGCGTAGGCCTCATCTTGGAAGAGGGGAAGGAGGAGTAAAGCAGCCAAAGTTAGGGCTTCACCAATTTAGTTCCTGCAGTGTCAGGGGGGTGGCCGAGGACATCCTGGCGCAGGATGCCTTGTTCTTTCTCACACTATCTATCCCACTCCTCTTCAGCCTTTTTACACCCCGCCTTCTCAGCCCTTACGGCTGTCCTGGCAAATTCAGGTGATACACAGGCATGAGATTTGAACACTGAGGGCTGACAGAGCCAGCAACGTGGAGGTTTAGGGGCTCCCCAATGTCAGGCCTCTCGATGCAGGCTCTGGGCATCACTCTGCTTTCCACGGTGCCTTTGGAAGCTTTCTTCTGAGATGGTTTTCACAGGTCCATGTGGAAAAACAGTCACTATTCCAGGGAATCTCACCCTTCCTCCTGTTTACTGCCCTTCTCTTCTTTCATCTTCCCTCTTTCTCCTTCTCTCCTCTTCTTTCATTACTTTCTTCAGGACTCATGTCCCCTCCATTTTCACCCTTTCCACTTTTACTTTTCCGCTCCTCTGTCTCTCTGTCTCTCTCTCTCTCTCTCTCTCTCTCTCTCTCTCTCCCTGTCTCTCTTTCTCTAACACGTCCAAAAGTGCTGTTTTTCTGTAGGTGTTTCTTTTGACGCCCAACTTTGCTATGCTATACTATTTACTAATGTTTATTAAGGGAAATGGATTCCTGTAATGAACTGATCACTAGCAATAGCCTATATCCTGATGTGTGTGTGCGCGCTCATAACCACACTTACCTGTTTGTGAGCATATGAGGCAAAGTTATCTCACATTTCCAGGTTTCATGAGTTGGAGTTGTACTCCCTTTCCCAATAATCAACTTATAGTACTGACAGATTCCACTAGCATGCTGAGTAGGGTAGTAAATCAGGATGCTCATAACTTTGTATGTCTGACCCAAGTGCCAAAGGCAGACGTGCTTTATAGCTAAATGAACAAAGCAAAGGATATTACAGAGGTCCGTTCTCTCTTAGAAGCTAACTGCCCTGAGACTGCATGGCTCAGGCCTTAATAATGGACACAAAAAGTCATAAAACTTTAGAGCTGGAAGGAATCTTAACTGTTAATCTAGTTCAATGCCCTTATTTTACAGATGGAAAAACTGAGACCTGGAGATAGGAAGGGATTTGCTCAAGCCACACACAGAGTTTATAGCAGAGTTGGGACTGGAATACAGGCCTTCTGACACAGTTCGATACTCTCTACCCTGCATCACATTAAGTCATGGGACTTTTCTCCTAGGACTCTACTAACAACGACAGAAAGCCATTCTCATTCGATGTTCAGGAACCATGCCGAGTTAGCGTGGTGGTCTTTAAGCAGTGCATGGCGGGTAGCTAATTAACTATCAGGTGTCAAGGCTCCTCCCGCAGTGGACATCACCTTTGGCTGTGTCGCCTTGTAGAAGCTCGTGTGGAAAAGAAAAGCTTAAGAACGCCCTAACCAAGCTGTATCTTCGCCATTGCACCTACCTTTTGCTGCACACACTGTGCTCGCTCCTGGCTTTGTCTGCAAGGGCAGTTGCCTGGAAACCCAAATTTCAGCAACAGTGGAAAACTGAAACGAAAGATGTATAATGCAGAGAACTGACTTATCTTTTTAAAAATATCAAGAGCCTGTGCTGTGAATACCCTTCACTGGGAAAAGGCTGCAGTGGTGGTGGCAGGCCCTTAAAGACTGCTACTAAAAGACACAGGAATTAGATTTGGTTTCCCTACGTAAGTGAGTCCAAAATTCACTGCAGAATCCAGAGATTGAGGGCACTTGCTTGAAACCAAGGTGCTCCAACTTAGTTTAAGACTTCCAGACTCTAACTTTATATATCATCTCTTTGAAAGTGTGCATGGATGTGTATTGCAGGGTGGAAAGGTGGGGAGAAATGTAGAGTCATACACGGGGAAGAAGAAGAAGGGAACGTTGATGTCCCTTTGTTGGATATATAGACTACAGAAATACGTGCCACTCGGTCTTTGTTGGTTCTGAATCTTCCTGAAGTGTACTGACATTTGGGCTGCACACAGCCCCACACCTTCACTTTCACCTCCTCTTCTAGAATTGCTTTGCTCTATTTTTGTATATATAAATATGTTATGATGATTATTAATAATGTTAATGATATTGCTGCAAATGGTGCCATATATAAAGTTTGGCTTCTTGGAACATTTATAAACCCAAACCAATACTTGTAACCTCTTAAGTTGCTTTCAGATCCTTCAATTTTAAGTAATTTTTTTTTAATCTCACAAGTCTGCCTGATTGAACTTTGAATTTATCTACCCCTAAAAGCTGTGCCCAGTTCTCTGGGCCAAGCTGGATGGTGATGAGTAGCAACACACACTTCTCCCTGCTTCTGCCTGAAATTTGCTTAGAGCCAAGATATATAAGGATTCTATGACACTAGTGCATTGTTCCTGGAGCTAAAGTTATTCTATGGATGTTTGCTTAATAGTTTCAGGGCCCCAAATAACACAAGTCCCTCCTCCTTGATAGCTCCTTGATAACCCAATCCTGCAGTCCTTACTCAGGCAAATTGTACACTGCCAGAAGGGCTCTGGGCTCTGCCATATACCCAGATGAGCTCTTCTCAGTGGATTTCTAAATGGCCTTACACTTGGTAGAAGAAACTGAAGGGTTACTCAAATGTAGTTGCAATGTGCAATCTGCTGCTGAGTCAGGGCTTTCACTTGTGTCCAAGTTGGCCTGATATGGACTGCATCTGGTTTACGTATAGATGGGTCCTGTTGGGGTATGCGCATGGACGTGGGAGTGAGTGTGCATATGTATCCCTTCTGTGAGATTATATATATATATATATATATACATATATATATATATATATTTGTAAATATATATTCACACATCTCTATATATTTTAATGTATTGCACATGTATATTTAAAATATATACGAAAGAACTCTAAATCCTGCAGAGAGGCTCTGTTTTCATTATTTTTCTACTTTGTGTCATGTACTGTATAAACAAGAATATTTAGAGGGTGTTTCCTGCTTAGCATTTTTTTGCAGTTAAGTCATCTGTTACCCCCTCACTCTACTGCTTTCTACATATTGGTCCCTTGATACATTTCATATGGCTTTGGCCAAGAGTTTTCCTTTGGTTCCAGCCCATCTTCGCTCACCACGATAGCTATAATGAATATAGTGTACACTTAATATAATGCTTCCTATGTGCTAAGCATGATTTTAAGCATGTTACCTATATTAGCTAATTTAATCTTCACAAGATTTCTATGGTGTAGGTACTATTAGAATTGCCATTTTATAGATGAGAAAACTGGAGCACAGAGAGGTTAAGTAACTCGCCAAAGGCAACAAAGCTTGTAAATGGCGGAGCTAAGATTTGAACCTGTGCTGTCTGACCCCCGAGTCCATGCTCCAGAGTCAAATATAGAAGTCTGGAGCATAATGTAAACCCTTGTGGTATAACAAGCTTCGGATGGTGAATAGTCCTTTCCCTAACTCCAGCCCACCTGCAGCCCCAGAGTGGAAACAAATGTGTTCGTATATGGGAAGTGAAGCAATAGTTACAGACACCATGTATTAGCTCTCCTGCTTCCCGAGGTGCTGACATTACAAACTTCCCCACTATTCCCTTTGAAAATATGCTTGCAGCCAGTTACCATTTCTCAGACAGCTTATGTTGTAGAGCTAGTAGAGAAGTATTTGCACTTGTGCTAGAGAGGGTAAGATTTATTTGGCTTTCTCTTTATAGGCCTAGGAAACCTGAATCTATTTTTCTGCAGAAAGTAGAACTAAAACTATTTCTGGAACTTGAGATTGGTTGGAGCTGTTAACATTCAAGTTTACTGATTATATCGAGTGCATTCTTCTGATGCAAATGTAAGCAATCCACCAGTGATCACTGGTCAGTATAGCACCTTACCTTTTCCCATCACCTCCTTCACACTGATGGCCTCTTACCCTGGCATGACTTCAGAGCCAGGAAGAACCTTAAAGAACATCTACTACGACATCAAAATTTTATAGTTGGAGAAAAAGAAAGAGAAAGTAACCTGTCCAAAACCACACAGTTCTGAATATGGGTGGAATTATGACTTCATCCAAGACTTCCCAATTTCCAGGTGTCTTCGTCTGAGTTTCTTAGAAAATAGAGCTTGAAGCTAAAGCTTCTGTGCAACCCCAGGGAAGTAGGAGTAAGGAAAAAGGGGAGTGAGGTAGGGAAGGCAGGAGAGCAAGGATAATGGAGTTTATCACTGTGTTGGCCGCAATCCGTTTAGGCAGGAGCTAATTTCTCAAGGACAGGCATTACTGCATAGCCATACAGCCCAACTGGGGGTTAGGAAGGAAGGAAAATGCATCTCCTGTCTCCTATCTCATTAGTCCAATACCTTCCCCGTGGGAAGTTATTTCCCCTGTACTTCTGGGTGGTGAATGTGTGGGTGCCCAAGCGTGTACCTCGACATCTCCTGCCTCAGCAGCAGTGGGGAAGCATTGTGGCTGCACTACAGACAGCAGGGCAAGTGTGTGGGTATAGGGAGACATAGAAACTTAAGGTGGCATGCTAGGATGGGGCTTTTTCCTTACATCTTTAATCACATTCATTCAAAATGAGTTAGAGATAACCTACCATCTTTCAAGTACACGAGACTTTATTGTGGTACTCAGAAATTTCCTAAATTTGCCTTCTTGGATCTAGGTATTCTCTGACGTGCTTTGAAGGGCCTCTTTCTACATGGAAACGAAGTCCTAGTACAACTAGAGGAGTAACAAAGTCTCAAAGTATCCTTCTTAGTATAAAAATTACTGAGCCCTTCAAAAAGCATGTCTAAGCCCATGCATGTACATGAATGCACATGTGTTCCTTTCGCCTCCATCAGCATACTAGCAGGAAAAGTGGTCAAGTTAATAAGTTCAGGAAAAATTGGCTAAACAAGTTATTTTGCAACATGAAAATAAAACATTCTGCTGGTCGACTGGATTTTTTTTTCTATTTCAGGCACTAATTATGATAACACCACACAGACACATTCCAAGAGCTATACTGTCTTCTATTCTCATACACAATAATTCCCAGAGACCTATAGACCATTTTTACATGAAGTCAAAACATCTAGTTGATAAAAACATCCCATTGATATGGTTTCATATCTATGGTCAAGGTCATAAAAGCACTGAATGCATTCCAATGATTTAATTCTTACTTTTTCACATAAGAAAAGATAAGCATAAGAGAATTCTGAAAAATGTTCGAAGTGAATAATGAAATCATGCTATCACTCCAAACAATCTATCGAAACTGTTCTCCAGTGACCTCCATTTTAGTGAGTTTATTGATTACTTCTTGGTTCTCCTGGTACCTGACCTATAAGCAGCATTCGACACAGTTGCTCATTCTTCCTAGAAACACTTTTACCGCTTGGCTTCCCGGATAACACACTCTGCTGGTTTTTCTCCTACTTCACTGTCTGCTCCTTCTCTATATTCTTTGCTGAGTCTCCTCATCTTTGTCACCTCTTCATATTCAAGGATCCCAGGGATTGGTCCTTGGAGTCTGTTCTTAGGTACCATTTACACAACAACTCTCCAAATTATATCTCTGCCCTTAAACTTCCCACGCGTGCAGTCACCTGCCTATTCCATATCCTTACTCTGATATCTAGTAGGGATTTCAAACATAACACGTTCAAACCAAGTTCCTGATCTTTCTCTCCTCATACCTGACCTCTGTAGCCTTTCCTATCTCCTTTAACGCCAAGTACGAACTTCTAATTGCTCACATCAAAAGCTTTGTGGTAAATCCAGTGGACTTTTTATCACTTGTGAATGTAGCCAAAATTCTCAGCCTCCAAATCCTAAATTAGTCTTCTATTCTGGTAATTTAGGCCTGGCCTAAGGTTTGATAAGACTAAAATCTTTGGTCCCTTTATCCTAATGTAGGCCCATATTCTTATCTTGAGCATCAAATTTATCATCACAACACTATCAGTATTGCTGCTGTCAAGGGCAGGATGGATAAAACACATAGCCCCTCAAGGAAAGACATCTTGGGAATGACACTATTCATTGCTTAGTGACCTTGCTGTCATTACAATCAAAATTATATATGTTGCTCCTACATGTATTTGCTGGCCAGAACCCTGGAAAAGAAAGGAGATAATCCTGACCCACAAGTTGTCATTCTCCAACTATTCAGGCAATCCTTTTGACTGTATCAGATACCGGTCATGTCTCTGATGGTCAGAGACACAGATGTAAGCATCTCAAAGCCCCCAAGTCCTTGAAGAAGTGACTAACACTGCTGTTCTGGGTTATTAAAGAAAAAGAAAACCAGATACACTCAGGCAAACACCCTAGTTTTATTAATACAGGGTTTTGACCTCAAGTCACCTGTATGTTCTCCGATTTTGATAAGATGAGGTGAACCAGACGTCCATCCTGAAGGCGCATTTTAAAGTCTATGTCCTAAGGCCTAAATGAAAGACCAAATGGCTCCCTTGGGCCTTTTGTCCTAGGCCCACAGTTTAATCTTCGCCTTCAAACTTTTACCACTCTGATGACCAAAAGAAATACTAAAAAGGAAATACAAGGAAAAGAACACTAATTTTTATACTATCAGAGATTAGGTGGCTTAAACAAGTTTATTGTGATTTTTTTCTAATAGGTCCCCTTCCAATTGAGGTGAAGGCCTCCCAAGAAGGAGAAGGCTCCAGGCCCATCTTAATATATAAACTATATTGAAGGACAGAGAGAGAAAAAGTAGTGGGAAGTAATTCTAACTGTGGGTCCAGAAAGAAAAACAAAGGTTAAGAAACTGAGCCACATGAAAGAAAAATGCTCCACAATCAGCTTGTTTCTCTCACCTAAATCTCCACTGCAGTAACCTCTTGGCTCACTTGTATCTTTGAACTCCATTTTGTCCTTGACTTATATCACCAACCAGTCTTTTTTTTTCAAACTCCTACAGCACTTCCGCTGGACCGATTCTGTGTTTGTCTTTCTGTGTGTGNGGGAGGGAGAGAGAGAGGTGGATGGAGCCTTTGAGCTCCCCCTCAGAGGCTCCAAGTTAAAGTATGCCCGCTAATACTCTCAGGCTTTCAAACTCCCTTCTAGGACATGCCCCATAGTGCTTGGATCTTATACTAAATGACTAGGTTTCTCTCCTTCGGAGAGAAATACCAGACTGGATTTGTGGCTTTCCCTGGATTGGCTTCTTCTGAGTCAATGTAGTGTTGTGGAAATCACAGTACCCTAAGACCAATTAAATCAGAATCTTTAGAGGTGGAGCTGAGGAATGGACTTTTTTTAAAGCTCCCAGGTGATTGAAATACTCAAACAGGGTTGAGAAAGCCCAGTTGCCTCATTCTATAAATGCAGATACTGAGGCTGAGAGCGAGAAAGTGACTTATTCATAACCACACAGTGAGTTAGGGACAAAGTTAGGACAGTGAGAATCCAGCTCTGCTAACTCCTAGGTCAGAGTTCTTGACTTCATACAATGCTGCTTCTCTCTCTACCCTGTGTCGCCCCCGGGCCTCTGCTTTCCTCATGTAAAATGAAGATAATGAAGGCTGGAGATCTTGTGAGAGGCATTTAAAGCAGAGGCATTTTTTAACGTACAAGGTTCTGCAGAAACACAAAGCAATGCTGAAATACTTGAGGGAGTTAATGTACAACACACATGTGAGGCCGAGTCTCTAAAAGAACATAGTCAAAGTTGTTTTTATTTTAGTAAGTCAATGATTTGGGTGTTGTGTCTACCTGATAACATGTATCAAGATTTATTTCTAGAATTATGGGAATCGAACCTACTCCTAAGACTTCAAAAGTCTCCGTGCCAACACTTGTGTGGATTGTATGTACCTTTAAACTGAACTTAGTTTTAGTGACAATCAAAGAACTTAGGAGTTAAGGACAGAGGTCATTCTTTTCTCTCTCTTTCCCT